TTCCAGTGCAGCTTGTCTGCTTTGTTTTGGTAGTTTATCTCCAAGATGGAGTTTGTACCCCTTGCTTGTGATGACGAGGGGGTGGTCCAGTTTTCTAGTATCAGTGTCTCATTTGACACTTCGGTTTTACTCTTCTGAGTCTTTAAGTTATTCATATAATTGTCGTTTGAAAAAAAAAAAGTGACATAGTCTGAAGAAGAAAAATGTCCCATTATGGGTGGGGATTTTATTAGCATGACAAAATTTGAGGGATTCACATCCTATAAAAAATTTAAAATATCATTTTTAGCATTATTTAGTTATTTTTTTTTATTTTTCTACTTTGATGATATTAGAATTATAGTATAGTTCTTAGTACATAATTAATTGAATATATTTTAGAGTAAAGATTGATTAAATATCATTTTATAGTAAGATAATTACAACATGCTAATTTTAAAGTAACTGCATTATACGGAAGAATAAATAAGAAAAAAAATAATAGTTATGATTATTTTTCATGACATTCAAAAGTTCTAAACTTAAGTATTTTCTTGCAAACTAACTACATAATTATTTTCAACTAATATAATCAAATTGCCTTCCACATCAAGTTTAGAAAAAAAAAAATTATAAAATTTATTAATTGAAATTTAATTCATATATATACAAAATAATTCATTAATTGTTTTCGCAAAGTAACATCTCCCTATATATAATTTTCGAATGCGCTAAGCCTACGTGACTGCTTCTGGTGCTTCGAAATCCAACTTGGCGAAAAATCATGTTTCGTAATTAGGTTTGAACAAATATTATGGATATATTAATAATTAATAATATAAGTCCAGACATTTCATAAATATTATTTAACTAACTTAGGTATTTTAATATCGCTTGTATTAATATAACCCTTTAATTCTTTGTAATTTTACATAGTGAGACACTAAGTGGCCAATATATACCTGACTTTTGATTTGTTTCCTTCAATCAGCTATTGGATTATAGATGTATTTTAAAAGTTGATAATTTTTTTCTTATCGGTTTTACATATATAATATTATATCAAATTAATCATCTTTTCATGATCTTCGATTTGACATCCATATTGTATATATAAAATAAATAAATTATATTTATCTTTATAATAATAAAAAATAATAATATTTAGTAAAATTTATTAAAAAATAAAATTAATTCTCAGTTGATATTGAGAGCGGGCATAGTAAAATAGTTTTGGAGATGCTTAAGAACACAAAGCACTAAAGTTTTTAAAACCATATTTGGGATTTCAAACCTCACATAAACCTCTAAGTGGACATTAAATAAATATAAAAATAAAGAAAAGATAGTAGAAAAGATTTAAATAATAATTTTTAATAAAATAAGTGGAGAACAAGTGGGACTCGTATAAAATAAACATGTGAGATTTATTGTTATTGAATATTTGGAGTGTAGGAGTAAGATTAAGGTTTTGGTGATAAGACACATTGAAATATAAAAAAATGAAGTTTAAGAGGTTTTGTTGTTAAAGATTCTCTTATATAAAGGATTCCTATGCTTTATTGTGAGATAGTGGATTTTGAATAAAATATGAATTGATATCGTATTTAGGTGTTCTTGAAATTGTGATCTCATTAATATCGTCTCATTCGTACGCTTTCTTACATCAGTTAGTATCAGAAGTCGGCACGAATAGACGAATCGACGGGCGTGACGCCACTATTGAGCATCTGGATCGACAAGCCACGGGCTTTGGCCGCCAGATTAATAAATTGTATCGTCTAGTTGAGGGTCTTTGAAGAGAAATCAAAAAAGTGATTCTTACAATCAACAACATAGTTGAAGATTTCCAGACGAACCGTGACTCCGACAACCGGGGCGTGCGCATCGGAGTTCGCAGAACGTGAAGGTCGTGGTTAGGCAGAGCGCCTCGTCGGAGATCTCCACAACCACCATCCGACGACGACGACGGCGAGGAGACAATCTAAGAGGTGAATCCCTTCGGCGATTATTCACCCCGCACGTTACCCATTCGCTGCATACGACGGCCGTGACATGCGACGACGAGGCCCGATCTTCGTGGACGACGACAATCAATGCAACGACAGAAGAAGGAGCGAGGAGGCTGCCTTCATCGGTGGATATCATGCCTGACGCAATTGGGGACTTGAACGTGATGGTGCCGGCTTCGCAGGGTACGGCCGGCAACGACGCTGTTGGGACATCGGGTGAAACACCACATACTTTGATGATGAACAATAGCTATTGGATTAGAACCTAGAGCACGACGTGTTCGCTGGAGATTGGCAGTAGCGGAGCGATGAACTACATCCGACAGACGTCACCGATGAGTCGCGATGGAATTTGGTGCCTTTTTTGGGCCTGTCAAGGAGCCGAAGACTTTAAGCCTACGCAGAGGGAATTTGATCTTGAATATGGTTAATGAGAGGGCCCATTTCGCGTTGACAT